AAGCAAGCACCTAGAGTATGGTATGAGAGGTTGAGGGATTTCCTACTCTCTAAAGGGTTCATTATGGGCAAGGTTGACACCACTCTCTTTACTAAGAAGATTGGCAAGGACGTGTTTGTATTGAAAATCTATGTGGATGACATCATATTTGGATCAACAAATCAAGCCTATTGTGAAGAGTTTGGAAAGATGTTGGCAAATGAGTTTGAGATGTCCATGATTGGAGAGCTTAGTTACTTCCTTGGTTTTCAAATCAAGCAATTAAAGAATGGTACATTTGTGAGTCAAGGCAAGTACATCAAGACAAGCTCAAGAAGTTTGGAATGGATGATGCAAAAGCATTTAGTACACCAATGGGGACAAATGGAAACTTGGATAGTGATGCAAGTGGCAATATGGTGGATCAAAAGATGTATCGGTCTATGATTGGAAGCCTACTTTATGTGACCGCATCAAGGCCGGATGTGATGTTTAGTGTGCGCATGTGCGCTATATTTCAAGCCTCACCGAGAGAGAGTGATTTGAAAGCAACAAAGAGAATATTGAGGTACTTGAAGTATACACAAAATGTTGGATTGTGGTATCCTAAAGGTGCAAGGTTTGAGCTTATTGGATATTCCGATTCGGACTATGTGGGATGCAAAGTTGAGAGGAAGAGCACTTCGGGCACTTGTCAACTATTGGGAAGATCACTTGTATCTTGTTCATCAAAGAAGCAAAATAGTGTAGCACTTTCAACCGCCGAAGCGGAGTACATTTCTGCCAGTAGTTGTTGTGCTCAATTACTTTGGATGAAGGCTACTTTGAATGATTTTGGAATCAAGTTCAAGCAAGTACCATTGCTATGTGACAATGAGAGTGCAATTAAGCTCACAAACAACCCGGTTCAACATTCAAGAATAAAGCATATAGATGTCCGCCATCACTTTATAAGAGTTCACCAACAAAAATGGGATATTTCCATTGAGAGTGTGGGCACCAATGATCAACTTGCCGATATCTTCACCAAACCACTTGATGAGAAGAGGTTTTGCAAGCTAAGGAATGAATTGAACATACTTGACTTCTCAAATATGTGTTGATGCACCCCCATTATATGGCATGCCTCTTCTTCGAGCAAACCAAGGTAAAGTTGGTTGACATGCCATTCATCTTATGCTAAGGACTTGTTTAGTGCATCTAGTCATTCCTATCATATTTTAGGCTCATTCATGAAAATCAAATGATTTTGATGCTTGTATGGTACCACTATTGTTTCTATGTTTGAAATGATCTAGTGGTAGCATATGACATGTTTGTGGGCTTGTGAACCTAGTGTTTAATCTAGAAAATGAGCTAAAAGTGTTTAACTCAACATGGTACAAGATAACCCTTGTTTGGTGGTGTGAAGAAGCTTGTCCTTGGATCAAACTGAGTTAAATGTCTTTGGCAAGTAATCTAGATTGAACCAAATTTGAAAAAATGATCCTCACATAACATGGTTTCACACAACCTATCTAAAATTTGAGTTCATCTTTTGTGGTCATCAATGACAAAGGGGGAGAAACAAAGATAGCGGGAGAGAAATGATAAAGGAAGTGGATCAATTAAAATTTGAAGCACACAAGTAGGGGAGCAAGCTCATAAACTTGTATGATGCATTTGGATGCGCATTACATATGTTTGCTTGCATGGCACAAGTTTTTAATCTCCAATACATGCTTGTGTGGTGTATGCTAGTTATAGTTTTGAATGATGAAATGAAGAACTAGCATGCATAAAATAGCTAGACACTTGAATTATATGTTATCACATGTGGTACTAGAGCCTTGCTTATAATGTTAATCTCACAAGGTATCTAGCTTGTTTTTGTGCTTTCATGTATTTTCAAGTGGTGTCTAGAAAATCATGGTGCTAAGGATAGTGCTGAAATGGCAACTCCGATTGGTATCACGCTTTAAAGGTCCATTTTTTACACCTTAGCATCATTTGGTAGCCATTACTCTCCCACACTTTCTATCAATACATATGTGCAAGCTTTCAAATTCAAACTCTTAGCACATATGTAGGGGGAGCTAATGCTACCAAAGTGGGTTTATAAAACTTGTCTATATCCTTTACACATGGTAAAATGCTCGGGCAAGCAACATGAATCCAAAAAGATTTAATTGAATATATTTGAGAAAAGGTTGTCATCAATTACCAAAAAGGGGGAGATTGAAAGCCCTAGTTTGATTTTGGATAATTGATAAAACCTAGGACTAACATTTGATCTAAGTGTGTGAATTAGAGAAGGTAGTCCAATCTAAGTGGTGGAACTAGATGATGGTCATGGTGAAGGTGATGGCTACAAAAGAGATGATCAAGTGCTTCATATTTGGAAAAGAAGAAAGAGAAAAACAAAAATGGGCTCCAGGCAAAGGTATATTGATAGGAGCCATTTTTGGTTTGCACTCAAGACACCACAGAGGGCGTGAGTGATTTAGGATCGATAGTCATACTATAAAGAGGGGAATTCTTTGGCTAAATGGTTTATCGAGTGGCACTAGGTGACATGACTCTTGCATATGCATTAGGGACCTAGTGTGCTAATATTTAACCCTTGATTTTTTTTTGAAAAATGCTAACACACGTGCACACAAGTTCTATGCTTTGTGGTTAGCAACTTGGAAAAAAGTGTGAAGTGGTTGCGACGTTAGAAAAAAGAAAAGGAGAAGGAGCAGGGCGTCGGATCCTGGCTCAGGAGGTGTCGGACCCTGAGAGGAGGAGGCGTCGGACGGCACGGGCACCCTATTCATCATAGGGCACGAGCGAGTGAGGTGATGTGGCTACCTGAGGGCGCTCGGTGGGAATGTGTCGGACTCGCCTCGATCCGATGTTCTGGCCTTGGACTCGGTCCAACAGCCTCTGGACCTCTCGGTGTAAAATTGTTGAGCGTCGGACTCCCTGCGTCGGTTGGTCCGACGGTTGGCATCAGACTCGGGTCCAAGCGAAAATCACGTTTCTGGACCTCTTGGTGTAGATTTTTGAGGGCGTCAAACCCTGAGCGTCGGCCGATCTGACGGTGCTGACTACGCGAGTCCAACGGTGGTGATCAAGCACGACAACGGTTGAAATCTTTGAATGAGACATGTGGCAGCTCGTGGTTTGCTAGGACAGGCATCAGACCTAGGCGTCGGATGGTCCAACACCCCGTTTCTTTGGGTCCGACGGTCCTTCCTGTGGCCTAACGGCTAGTTGAGCCCTTGGGGCTCTATAAATAGAAGAGACACGGCTTTGGCTCTCTCTCTCTTGCACATTTTCATCAGTGATACATCCTTGTGAGCCTAAGCAGACTCATCTCCATCATTGATTTATCATTGTAGTGAGATTGAAAGTGATTCCTAGTGTATTTGCTTGAGTGATTGCATCTAGTGGCACTTGGGGATCGTTGTGACTGCGGAGTTCTTGTTACTCTTGGTGGTTGCCGCCTCCTAGACGGCTTGGAGCAGTGGAGGAGCATTGGCGTGAGTTGTTGATTGTTCATGGCCGTCTCCTGGTGATTGTGAGGGGTCTTGTACCTTCCCCGACGGAGCGCCAAAAGGGAACTCTAGTGGATTGCTCGTGTCATTGAGTTACCTCATTTGTGGGTAGGTTTTTGCAGTGTCCAATTGTGTGGACGAGGTTCGTGCAACACGTCTTAGCCGCAGAACCACCAAGTGTTGGTCGACACAATGGGAACTAGCGTGCCGGCAAGCACGTGAACCTTGGGAGAAAAATCGTGTGTCTCCATTGTGATTGTATTTCTCCCAGTGATTGATTGGTTCTCATCTTGTGATTGGTTCAGCCCTCGACACGATGGTATAATCACCCTACACACTCATTTATATTCTTACAAACTAGTTGTCAAACTCTTTAGTGTAGTTAGTTTTTGAGAGCTTGTTAGTTTGGTTAGTGTAGCTCTTTAGTTAGTCTTTGAGAGCAAATTAGCTTGGTGAGTAGTGACATAGCTTGTTGTGTGCCTAGTGATCATAGCAAAATTGCATTACACCATTTATTGTACTAATCAATTGCTCTAGTGCTTTGTAAAGTTTTTTAAATAGGCTATTCACCCCCTCTAGCCATATTAGGACCTTTCACCCAGGCACGCCACGCACCCCATCCTCCGGTCCCTGGCTTGCCGCGCCCCTTCCCTCGGTGCCCGGGTCACTCTTTGAACATACCTCTGAAACACGAAACACTTGAATCCAACATACGTATGAAGCAAATGAAACATTTGGAACATACACTTGCAACATGCGTGTGAAACTATGCAACATCGAGATAAAACACTTGCAACTTGTAACATGAAAACACTTATTGCAACATAAGACTGAAACAGATAAAATATTTCAAACATACTCTTGCAACATATGTGTGAAACATGTGCAACATTCAGATAAAAAACGCTTCCAACATACATCTAAAACAGATAAAACATTTTGAATAAACGCCTAGAACATATATCTAAAATACTTATAACATGCCTCTGAAACACTTGCAACATATGTAACATCTCGATCTACTTTTGTAACATCCATATGAACCACTTGCGATGTATAGCTCTGAAACATCCGAAACACTTAAAGCATACATTTGCAACATAAGTTCCACGCTAGCAAGGTGAAGTGGTGTGCCATGTGAGCCAAAATGACAAGAACATAGGGGAGTTCCTATTTTCGGTGGCAATTTTGTATTTACCCTTCTAAATTAAGCCAGTAATCGAAGTGGTGGACTCCATCTTTATCGAAGAGGTGGCCTCGCTCTTTCTTCTCGATCGTACCATGAGGTACATATTTCATTAAAAAGAAAGTAGAGTTTTCAAACTGACAACTTACAACTTACAACATGAGGTGGCCTCCCTCAAGCGACCGCGCAGCGAGCATCTTGGAGTGATAAAGAGCAGCAAGTCAGCACGAGAGGACAGTCGCACAGTGCGCGCTCACCATGTGCTGAACTGCTGATCGAGTTCACACTAGCTAGCTCCGTAACCCTGCCCGACCATGGCCGTTGGTTTTGCTGTCGTCGACGCCCGGCAGTACGGCGGCAGGGTCACCGCGTTCGTGGCGCTGTCCTGCGTCACGGCGGCCATGGGCGGCGCCATCTTCGGCTGCGACATCAGCACGGCGGGCGGCGTGTCGTCCATGGACGCGTTCCTGCAGGAGTTCTTCCCGGACGTGTACCGCCGGTTGAAATGCGCCGCGGGCGTCAGCAACTACTGCAAGTTTGACAGCCAGCTGCTGACGCTCTTCACGTCGTCGCTCTACATCACTGGGCTCCTCACCGCGGTGCTCTTTGCGTCGTGGGCGCCGGCCGTCCATGGTCCTCGGCGGCGTTGCGTACCTCGCGGGCGCCGCGGTCAGCGGCGGTGCCGTCAACGTGTTCATGGGCCTGCCGCTGCTCGATCGGCGTTGGCCTGGGCTTCGCCAACCAGGTATATGATGTGGAATTTGTTCTTAGAACGTGATGATACAACATAAAGCGTAGAAAATAAACATCTTCCACTTCCAGGCAGTGCCAAATAAATCCACATGGAAAAATAATTGAAATTCTTTTAACATTTTTGCAGGCTGTGCCGTTGTACCTGTCTGAAATGGCCCCGGCACGTTACCGAGGGATGTTCAGCAACGGCTTCCAGTTCAGCCTTTGTCTAGGAGCTCTCCTCGCGACGGTCGTCAACTACGGCGCCGAGAAGATCACGGGTGGCTGGGGCTGGAGGCTCTCGCTGGGCCTCGCCGGCGTCCCTGCAGCGCTGCTCACCGTCGGCGCCATCTTCCTGCCGGAGACTCCCCAGAGCCTCGTCCAGCAAGGCAGAGACCGCGGGGAGGTGAGAGCGTTGCTGCAGAAGATCAGAGGAACCGACGACGTCGACCAAAAGCTGGACGACATCGTCGCAGCCAACGCTGTAGCGCAGCAGGGCGACAATGGCTTGCGGCTGATCCTGACGCACCGCCGTTACCGCCCGCAGCTGGCCATGGCCGTCCTGATACCGTCGTTCACGCAGCTGACGGGGATCAATGCCATCGGGTTCTACGCGCCGGTGCTGCTGCGCAGCATCGGCATGGGCGAGAGCGCGTCTCTCCTCTCCACCATCGTCCTGGTCATCGTCTCCTCCGCCGCGACGTTCACCTCCCTGTTCGCGGCCGACCGCTTCGGCAGGCGGACGCTGCTCCTCGCCGGCGGCGCGCTGATGCTCGTGTGCGAGGCGCTCATCGGCGTACGGGCTGAAGCTCGGCGACGAGGCGGCCTGAGCAGGGCGTACTCGCTGGCGCTCCTCCTGCTCATAGGCGTCTACTCCGCGGCATTCGGCTGCTCCTGGGGCCCGCTGAGCTGGCTGGTGCCCAGCGAGATCTTCCCGCTGGAGGTCCGGTCGGCCGGGCAGAGCATCACGGTGGCATCGGGCTTCGTGTTCACCGTCTTCGTCGCGCAGTACTTCCTCGCAATGCTCTGCCGGATGAAGGCGTGGCTCTTCTTCTTCTTCGCCGGGTGGATCGTGGTCATGACGGCGTTCGTGTACCTCTTCTTGCCGGAGACCAAGAGGCTGCCCATCGAGCACATTGACAAGGTGTGGGCGGAGCACTGGTTCTGGAAGAAGGTTATAGGAGCCAATGAAGATGAGGCAAGTGCCAAGCTGTAAAGAACTGTACGTAGCATTCAGCTTCAGCCATGACTTGAAGTTTTCAGACAAGAATATTCAAAGCCTGATCATTTGGAAGATCTTCAGCAATTGGAGTACTATACATTTTACAGTTCATTTGAAGTTCTTTATATTGATTGTTTACTGAATGAAATCAACACACGCACAAAAAAAAACAGATTCAAGTCACTAGATACACAATGAAGCAGCGGCACTATATATGGAGCTGGTCTCCCAGTAAACAGTTTGGTACGCGGCGAGGCTGGGCCCATGTGTGGCGGGAGCTGGGCTTGCATGCCCAGAGCTCGCGGCATCCCGGGGGCACAGTGGGGACGAGAGCGGCGTTCTCAGGGCGTGGCAATGAGACTGGCCGTGGTGGGGGCGACGTCGGTCACGGTGGGGTGGCGGCGGCGGGCGCGAGTCTTGCTAGCCACAGTGGAGGCGAGGCCGGCCACGGCGGGGGTGATGCGGTTGCGGTAGGACCGGTCTCGCTAGCCATGGTGGGGGCAGCCAAGCGTAGGCATGGGCACGGTGCCCGGCCGGCGCGCGCCACGTGCGACCATGGAGGTTGAACGCAGGTGGCAGAGTGGCACGCGGATGCAGCGAAGGAAGGTAGGGACGGGCGGCTCTAGTCGGCGATGGGAGTAGAAGAAAGAAAGGAAAATTAACGATGATGTACTTTTGTGTAATCAGTGGCAGTGTTGGATAATTTTTCTCTAATTCTACCAAACTTGAGTTTTTCGGTCTTTTAGGTGCTCCATAAAATTCCATAAATTTTCTCCTAAATCCATGGATTTCGTGTAGCTACTATATGGTCGATCTACGTAGATTGTTTGGCTTCAAAAAAATATTTCTAGAGCTATTTTTTTGGAGTGGCTAGCGCCCCGTCCGAATGACCACGCCGCTGCCCCCCGTCCTGTGCCCCGCGTCCCGCGCCTGCTTGTCCACGTCTCGCCTGCTGCGCCCACCGGCAAGCACGTGGGGTCTGCCCCATGCCACTGGGGACCGCCTCTGCCTTCCCACGTCTGACAATGAGGCTAGACAGCAGAAAGGCGAGGAGGGAGATGCAACACTGGATCTAGTTTTGAAACATCTAGATGCAGCAATTGCAACATACGTCTAAAACAATTGAAACATTTGAAACATGCGTATGAAACACTTGCAAAAATATCTGAAAAACACTTGAAACCATTGTAAACATATATAACATCTAGATAAAACACTTGCATCATATGTGTGAAAACATATACAACATCCAGATAAACACAGTTACAACTTGCAACATGAAAACACTTGCTACAACATAAGACTGAGAGATGAAACATTTTGGAACATACAGTTGCTACATAGCATGAAAACATATGCAACATCTAGATCAAAACCTTGAAACATACGTCTAGAAACAAATGAAACGTTTTGAACAAATGCTTGCAATATGCCTATAAAACACTTGCAACACATGCAACATCCTTCGATCTACTTTTGCAACATCCATATGAAACAATTGTAATATACCTCTGAAACGTTTGAAAGAATTAAAACATACATTTGCAACATAGGGGGAGAGAGCCTGAGCCTGAGACTGTTGCTACATAGCATAAAAACATATGCAACATCTAGATCAAAACGCTTGCAACATATGTATTGAAACAGATGAAACATTTTGAACAAACACTTGCAACGTGCCTCTGAAACACTTGCAACCAGTGTCGGCCCTAAGGGGGGGTGCCGGAGGTGTGACGGCCGAGGGCCCTCGCGGGATGGGGGCCCAAGCCCAAGTATATAATACCCCATACCCTTTAGGTATAGTCCATTAGGATTTAGGATTAATGAGAAGATGCAGTGGCCCATCAGCAAAAGGAGTCGTTGGTCTCTTCCCTTCCAGTAGGCAAGGAGCCGAGCCGCCAACACCCGCACACGCGCACATAGCGATTGTGAGTCACGATTTCTAGACTTCGGGCGAGATGCGAGACTGCAAGAGACGCTGCGCCGATCACCAGTTCACCATGCGATCACCAGCGCAGATCACCGAGACACTGACGCCCGAGTTCCAGTCTTCCAGAATCTAGATGACGGCGGCGACCACGCAACTGAGGTAGGGCTCGACGAGGACGATGACATCTGATCTTGGTTATTGCCTTGTGCCCTTTTTGTGATTTGTGAATCATGGTTCAGAATAAGTTCATTTCCAAATTGCCCTAGGTTTTTTTCCTTGTTCAATTTTTGTCTAGTACTTTGTACTCATATAGTCATGTTTTTCTTGTAATTTAGGTCAGATGTTAGAATTTTTGAATGTTACCTAAGAAACATTTGTCGAGAGGGGCCGTCATAACAAGTTCGCCAGAGGGCCCTCAAAATCCTAGGACCGGCACTGCTTGCAACATATGCAACATCCTCCAATCTACTTTTGCAACATCCATACGAAAGAGTTGTAACATACCTCTGAAACGTCTAAAACAATTGAAACATACATTTGCAACATAGGGGGAGAGAGGTTGTGCCAGTCTATTCCGGGCGACGTGGTGGGAGCTGGCGGCGAGCACCACCTAGCACCAGCACCGGCGGCGCACACGAGCACCACCGCCAACAGCACCACCAACACCGGGCTTGGCTCTGCGGCGACGCTGGGGGATGGGGAGCGGGGAGTGCCATGGCCGGCGGGGTAGGGGGAGCTTGGTCGCTGGTGCGAGAGAGGGTGCCGACGGTGGTGGGGTGGGCGCCGCGCGGTGGTGGGGGAGAGTCGCCCACTACCCTGCAACACCGCCGTGCCACCTTCATGGATCTCGCTCGTGCTCCATCGATCTCGCCGGGGTGGTGGAGAGGGCTGCCTGATCTACAGGCATTGGGGGTTCCCAGTGGGGGAGGACGCCAGGCATTGGTGTGCTGTGGCAGGGGATGAGGAGCGCGGAAGGGATAAGGATGGGGAGGAGGAAGCGAAGGATAATTTTTCTAATATACATGCGGACGGGAGCGAGCGGCATGGGTGAAAAGCCGTCCGACGTTTGTGCAATCCGTTGGACGTCTGACACATAGCATTTCCAATTTTCTTTGTGTATCTAGAGTTACAACAATGTGTCTAGGTGAAGAGATTATCTTCTTCGCATTACGTACAGTACATGGAAAACGATGAATTGTGGATAATTTAAGTATGGGGGCAATAAGAACTCCTCACTTTTCAGATATATTTGATGTGGACAACAATGACGTGAACATGGTTAAATGGTGTAAGCTGTTGCGACTAATAAGTCAAGAGCCGCCATGGAAAATTCGTACCAAAACGCATATAAACAAACAAGATGGAGACGGCCGGCACATGCTTTGCAAAGCTCCAAAAGGGCACATCACATCGAAGCTTGACCGGATTTCGGATGGCAACAGCAGCCAGCTACAGCTGGCCAACACAACTCCAACAGCATGGCCACCAAGGTTCACTGACCGAGCTCTCTCACCTTCAGCTAAGCTAACGGCGGCAGTGGCGGACTATGGCCGTCGGTCTCGTCGATGCCGGCGGCAGCGATGGTCGTCAGTACGGCGGGAGGATCACTGTGTTCGTGGCGCTGTCCTGCGTCACCGCGCCATGGGCGGCGCTATGTTCGGCTATGACCTCGGAACCTCTGGTACGAATGCGACCTCAGAATTTCAGACTCATATCCCGATCGATTACAGGATGTTTTGCACAGCACAGGTGGCGTGTCATCCATGGGGTCGTTCCTCGAGGAGTTCTTCCCGGACGTGTACCGCCGGATGAAGGGCGACGTGCGCGTCAGCAACTACTGCAGGTTCGACAGCCAGCTCCTGACGCTCTTCACGTCGTCGCTCTACATCGCCGGCCTGCTCACCGCGATGCTCCTCTCGTCGTGGTTCACGGCCATGCACGGGCGCCGCCCGTCCATGATCATTGGCGGGGCGGGGTTCCTCGCCGGCGCCGCGATCAGCGGCGGCGCCATCAACGTTTACATGGCCATCCTGGGCAGAGCGCTCCTCGGAGTGGGCCTCGGGTTCGCGAATCAGGTCAGAGCTCTCCACTACAAATTCCCCTGAATCTGATGATGAAATTCGGTGATCCTGCGATATTCAGGTGCGGCGCCGAAAAGAATTGAAGCCAAGCAAAATTTTGCAGGCTGTGCTTTTGTACCTGTCTGAAATGGCACCTGCACGATACCGAGGAGCATTCAGCAACGGGTTCCAGCTCAGCCTCTGCCTCGGCTCCCTCGCCGCAAACATCATCAACTACGGAGCGGAGAAGATCACCGGCGGCTGGGGCTGGAGGCTGTCTCTGGGCCTGGCCCGCGTCCCCGCCGTGCTCTTCACTGTGGGCGCCGTCTTCCTGCCGGAGACGCCCAACAGCCTGGTGCAGCAGGGCGAGGACCGTGGCATTGTGCGCTCGCTGCTGCAGAAGATCAGAGGCACGGACGACGCCGCCGCCGTCGACGCCGAGCTGGACGACATCGTCGCTGCGAACAGCGCGGCGGCACGGGGCGGCGACCACAGCGGCCTGCGGCTCATCCTTTCGCGGCCGAGGTACCGGCCGCAGCTGGCGGTCGCCGTCCTGTTGCCGGCGTTCACACAGCTCAACGGTATCAACGCCATCGGGTTCTACGCGCCTGTGCTGCTCCGCACGGTGGGCATGGGCGAGAGCCTGGCGCTGCTCTCCACGGTCGTCACGGTGGTCATCTACACGGCGTCGACGGTCGTGTTCATGTTCGTCATCGACCGGTTCCGCCGCCGCACGCTGCTGATCGCCGGCAGCCTCCAGATGCTGGTCTCCGAGGTGCTGATCGGCGCCGTCCTGGCGGCCAAGCTGGGCGACGAGGGCGGGATGGCGCGCGGCTACGCGGCGGCGCTGTTCGTCCTCATCGGCGTGTACGTGGCGGGCTACAGCTGGTCGTGGGGCCCCATGACGTGGCTGGTGCCCACCGAGATGTTCACCATCTTCATCGCGCAGGGCTTCGTCGCCATGCTGTGCCGGATGAGGGCCTGGCTCTTCTTCTTCTTTGCGGGGTGGATCGTCGTAATGACGGCCTTCGTGTACTTGTTCTTGCCGGAGACGAAGGGGATGCCCATTGAGCAGATTGGGAAGGTGTGGAGGGAGCACTGGTTTTGGGGCAGGGTTGTGGGGTCAGATGAATTGCAGGCGACTGATAAGCTGTGAAAAGAACTGAGAGAATAAGAATTAAGAACGTTCAGTAATTGAAGGGTTCCAACATGAAAATTTTAATAGCTCAGTCTTGTGACAACATCTCAATCCATCATCTTGCACTACTATAAAAATCATTTTAGAAACCAACTCTTTTGATTTACAAAGACGGATAAAAAATGTCCATGTATCCTAAAACACACTGTTATTTTCAGATACGGTTAACCCATTTACGAAGACACTAAAAAAAATTACAGTCTTTGTGTCGGGCTTATGATACCCCGAGTATCTCAAAACACCGATTAGTTAGCTGCTCAGGCGGCCCGTGATAGCCAAGCAAACGCAAGCCCAGCAACCATGGCCCATCTAAACTACGCAGACCTAGGGCAAGCATCAAGGCAAGGGGTCGACCACAACCTCTTCCTTCTCCTTTCACTACGCGCAACGCAGCGCCCCACGACCTCTCCTCTGTCCTGACCCCGGAAGGAATGGGGAGAGGTCGAGCTCCATCAGTACGTCTGCTCTAACAAAGGTAGGCACGCCCTACTCACTCCACTAGGATTGAGGGGAGAACTATCCCCTCAGACCAGACAGACGACATCCCTGTTCCACACTGCGAAGACATGACAGCACCGCCTAGACAGTGATGACCAGTACGGTGACCCACCATCCAGACACGGTCCGAGGAGACGGGCATATGGCTCCACCCACTACAGGATGAGGCTCATGACTACGGCCTTGACTTTCAAAGCCGATCAAGCCAACAAGGGTCGCGACCCCGAGGCTCGGGATCGTGGCCCCCGGCTTCACGACCAGCAGGACAACCGACGACGTGGGAGTAGCTACCTACTCCCGTATTGACGCCACCGGAAGGACGGGAGACGATGAAGAAGGCCATGGTGAGCTCACATCACATAGGACAGCTGGCGAACCAACACCGTGCCAACAGTGCCGTCACGACCGACACTGTAGCATCATGTCACACCATGCTGCGACATGGGCACAAGACCATGACGACAACCACGTCCGGACGTGCGCTGATGCCAAGACAAGATGGCCTTCCTTGGGATCCAAGATAGCTAGTTTCCCCTCCCTTAGGCTCACAACCACTCGGTCAGAAGAACCTATCTCTCTGTATGTAACCAGGCCCCGGATTCTATATAAGGGTAGCCAGGGCACCCTTCTAACGGGATGGACTCTCGAGTCTTCATTTGGGCAGTCCCTCTCCACTCTCCTATCTCTTTCTCCCTTCTTGCATACCTCATTGTAAGAAGTTCATAGCATTCAACCGAGGAACACACACTCGAACTATCTCTGAGACTGGACGTAACCGAGGAACACGCACTCGAACTATCTTTGAGATTGGACGTAGGGGTCCTGCCTAAACCAGTATAATTCCTTGTCTCTTCGGATGCTACCATTGTCTTCCTAGAGCAGCATGACACATTATAAATTCACTCATCGGGTGACAAAACACCAACACTTCGAAAATAGGTTAACAGAGGAGGCCCCCTGAAGAGGTAAGTCGCAGACCTCTTAAAAGGCATGTCTCTGTCAATAGACCATCAACTCACCAATCCCATCTTAGTATCTCAGTAATAAAATGGTTGGAATTGTTTCCCACTCATTTCTCCCACCTAACCAGCCGCCGCATGTCCTCCGTCTCTCCAATGCTGCCTCCCTCTCTCACCGGCAGTCTCCTCCCCATTATCTCTCTCTCCCCTCTACTCACTGCCCCTTCAGTTCCCTACCTTCTCTTCGCCTCCTTTGTGTTGTGGATCTAGTGGAGGCTCGGTTGAGGACGAGCCATGGTGGTGCGTGTTAGTATAAATTAATGCACACGGAATAATCCGCAAGCGCATGGATATTATACCGATGTAGCACTTCACTGGGAGTACCCAGTTTGATATCCAACTCGAGGAAACATGTGTGAGACTGACCAAATCTAACTTATCCCAACTTCACAATCAAGGCTAGATAATAGGAGCGTAGAGGAGACTGCTAAAGTCTTCTAGTTCTAACTGGTAAGCTTTGTCTTTTATTGTTCAATTCTGGGGATATTACTAGAGAAAACACAGGCAGAGTATGTTTCCTATAGCAACTAAGTCCTGCTAGGCCTACTAACGGGAGGTGAACTACAAAGGATTTAACGAGGCTATAAGAGTCACCCTCGCGAGCTACTGTCGATCCAGAAAATAGGGTACATCCACGAGTAACCGAGTCCAAGCACCATGCTTACACTATGAATACTACTTTAACCCAGGAGCTACAAGGATTAAAGTACCCAAAAGAGAGTCGTAAACCTGAAGAACAATATGAACAAGATGCTTACTTGAATTAGAAGTCGATTACCCGAGAAATCTCAGAAGCAAGCTCAAGAAGAACTTGATTCCGCCAGGGTATAAGCCGTAGATAGAGCACCGACAGGCCGAGACTGCTCTAAAACTCTTCCCTCTCACTCTATCTCACTATCTCTAATATAAGAGTAGATCCTATTAAGGACTAATTTTCTCTTGATTGCTAGCTATGATCCTGGTGGACATATGAATTAGGGTTTCTGGCTTCTCAGCTCTTAGGATCAAATGCCTATTCATGCCCTAGGGGGTGGCAAGGGCTGGTATATATAGCCCAGAGCGTACAACATGAGCCCTTGGATCAAACCAACTTAAAGGATGGTGGAGATGCAATGCTTAAGGCGGTGGAGAGCCGACATTTGAAGGGCAGGCTAACGTGTGGGGCCCACAGGTCGAGCGGCCTCTAGGTGGGGCTGGCCAGCCCCACATGTCAGAGACACAGGCTCCGCTTCGGTGATTTGGCTTCTAGAGTCTTCTAGAGTCTTCCCACGTCGATTACGCGGTGGAATTCCGTGATTTCCTGTGACGGATAGGTTCTCCTTGGCGGTTTTCTGAATAAATCCAGCTAGAAACACAGATTCACCAAAACTCATGGAATATGTTAGTTTAAACCCCCTAAGTCTATGTTGGTGATTCATTTTAGACATTTATACAAGTTATATTAACGGTTTGTGATGAATGTTAACTACCATCAACAAACTCCCCTACACTTAGGCTTTTACTCGTCCTCGATGAAAGGATGGATTATTCAAGACATAACTTTGGGACAAGACATCAACATAAAACCATTCCTAGTCATGCATGTACTGTAGGATTCAAAGTGTCTACCATGAAACTTTGGGTGGTTGAAGAATGGAACAGCTTGAAATAGATTACCATCTTCCTTCGGTCAAGTCCATTGGAGAAATATTTTAAGATTTTTGAAAATAAAACATAGCTTACCTTCTCCATTTGTAGTACTCTCAAATCATTCTGTATATATGATATTTTTGGATCCTCACCAAGGCATTGATGACTTTGCCTTCTTTTTAAGTTTATGTGGAGCTCAGGTAGGGATGAATATGAAAACATACTTGCATTGTATATATTATGAAGTCAAAACAAGGATCCAAGGAGAAAGATGTCATACTCTTAGATCAAGACATGCATGTGTGTGGATATGTATATGGTGGATAACCTAATTCTACTATGCTCCTTGAAACATGTCTCTCTTGATTGAAACTTGAAAATACTTTGCAAGAAAACATGGGCTATCTTATTCATCTCTTTTTTTTTCAGGCGGGCACTTGTCCATTGTTTTCAATATCTCGGACACTTGTCCATTTTTTTCAAAACTCTTTTCTTCTCTCTTTCTTTTGAATAACTTTTGCATAGCCCAGGCCTCTTCTTTTGCAATGGAAACTTTTCAAGAGAGACATTTATAAGAACATGGAGCATTTATACTAACAAACTTATTCTTGTGTCTATTCCCAGTGTAGGAGTAGAACATTTTTGGTTGGATGAAAAACATGTTGTTGCGTACCCCCAATGTCGGAGCAGCAGATATATGTGGAGTGTACGTGATCTTGATCTTGAGAGCATGATAAGTTTCTCAACAAGGGTCACAAGGTTTGACCAAACTCAATACAATGACAAGTACTATATGTAGAAGTTTCTCTAGTCTACATTTGGCTCTGGTAGGATATTGCTTACCACAAAGGAGAGGTGTAGCTATTCTTTTTTTCTTTTTGAAATAAAATTCTCCAATAACGAGACATCAAGATTCAAGTTCTCATTATTCTACTATATCTCATTCCACAACAACTTAAGTAGCATGGGGTCCCTAATAATAAGTTCCCAACAGTAGCAAGACTTCCAAGAAATGTGTTATGTGAGTCGATCCTTTAATGATGACTGAAATAATCTTTCCTCATGTTTTAAAATTGTTTTATCAAATGATTCTCAATTCAGTTCGAAATGGAAAGCGAAACATATAATAATAGAGTGTATTGGGCTCGAACCTGACTGTGGATGAAGAGGCGAGGTAGGACTGTGATGGGCCGACCAGCCCATGTAGGATGCCGAGTGGCCCTCTTTGGGGTCTATTTCAGTCCAACTTCGGCGAGCGTGGTTCTTGGTCCATTGCTTTCTGAATTTCGTGATTTTCGTGATCGAATTCCGTTCTATTGTTGCAGTGTGTCTCCCCCACACTTGTTTTCCTGTATACCTTTATGCACAACATGTGGAGACACAACACATATCCAAAAGAAATAGAGAGCAGATAATAATAATAAGACTCCATTAATATATATATATATAAGGCACTTTATTACACAAGCATAAACTAAACACAAACTTTTTGATGACCAAACACGAATTTCAATATTCTAATGATCTGAGCTAAGCAAGTAACCTAAACATACTATCTTTAAACACTTGACCTAACCACTCGTGCGTTATTATTAACTACCTAATTCTCACTTCCTCATCTTAGCAACAAAATGGTTCAAAGCATTTAAATCATGTTGCAGACTCTTGCGATAAACGTGTTCTTCGTTGATTCTTTGCTCTAAGGTATAGATAACATTGGAGAGGTCTTCAATCTTCTTCTCTAAGAGAGCAATAGTCATCCTAGGACGCTTCTCAGCCTCTATGATAGGTGGTGATGGCGCCTTCATCTTC